AGACTGGTTACGTCCCCGTTCATACCATACCTGGTACCGCGAAGACGGAATAATAGTCCACCATGGATAACTAAAACGGTCAGGAAACTCCTTAGAAAAAGGAAGGATCACTGGAATATGTTCATTTCTACTGGCTTAGAACAATACAGATCCAGTTATTGTAAGATTAGGAATGCCTGTAAGGCGTAAATAAGTAAGACTAGACATTCATACGAAAAAAAATTGGTTAGGGATTCTAGATATAGTCCGAAACGGTTATTCTCGTATATAAAAAGGCGAACTAAGAGAAGCGATGGAATTCCATCACTTTTGATACGAGACAATCCGTTAATCTTATCAGAGAATGATGCCGAAAAAGCTGAAGCTTTATCGGAATATTTTAGTAAAGTGTTTTCTATCGGTAATGAGGAACGACCAATGATTCATCGTGACCGTGACGGCTCGCTGATGGATCCTGTAGTCATTGAGAAAGATACTGTTTTAAGGCTACTTCAGCATCTCAAACCTGATAAGTCTAGTGGTCCCGATGATATTCATCCTAGGATTATGAAAGCCATATCAGATGAAATTGCTGAACCATTAGCGATACTATTCGACATGTCTCTGAGATAGTCCAGACTTCCTAGAGACTGGAAAGACGCCATAATAAGTCCGGTGTATAAGGCTGGGAGTAGGGATTTAGTTAGTAACTATAGACCCGTTAGCTTAACTAGTGCAGTTGTGAAACTGATGGAGAAAATCATTCGGATAGCTGTTATAAACTATGTTGAAGGGCAAAACTTTTTCTCCAGGGCACAACATGGTTTTCGGAAAGGCCTATCTTGCTTGACAAATCTTCTCATTGCACGAGAAGAGTGGGCTACGGCAAAGGATCGGAATGCTCCTGTGGATGTAATTTTCATAGATCTAAGTAAAGCCTTTGATAAGGTTTCACACTCTGGTCTTAAATTCAAACTGAAACGTTTTGCAATCCATAACACAATCGTCGATTGGATAAGTAACTTTCTCCATGACAGGAGACAAAGGGTAAGGGTTAATGGGGCTCTCTCCTCGTGGGTACCTGTAAAAAGTGGGGTTCCCCAAGGCACAATCCTAGGTCCTCTTCTCTTTTTACTTTATGTAAATGAATTGCCAACTGTAGCAAAATCATCCGTTCTACTCTTCGCTGATGACATAAAGATTTGGAGACCCATACATAGTATGTCGGATAGAATAGTATTACAGGACGATCTTAGCTCATTGGTGGCATGGTTAGACAGGTGGTCACTAGAAGTAAATCCTAATAAGAGTGTAGTGATGCAGTTAAATAACTCTGATGAATCGTATGACTATACACTACGTGGATTCGTGCTACCCAAAGTAAGAAACTATAAAGACTTAGGAGTTATATTAAGCAATGATCTCAAAACGACTAGTCACTGTAAGGCTGCTGCTGCAAAAGGCTATAGGGTATTATGGTCAATTCGTAGGTCTTTTCAGTATTTAGATGATGAAATGTTTGGATTACTATACCCGATTTATGTGCGACCACATTTAGAATACGGGATTCAAGCAGCGAGTCCTTGTTTCAAATATGAAGCAGATATGCTAGAAAGAGTCCAACGACGAGGCACTAAGATGGTACAAGGTCTAGCTGGCCTATCTTATGAAGACAGACTGAGACACCTTAACTTATTTCCGTTATCTTACCGTAGAGTACGGGGTGATCTAATATTGGCTTATCGTATACTGAACGATGGACTTGGTATCAACATGTCTTATCTTTTGCTTCCGTCTAGAACCGATCATTTGAGAAGACATTCGAAGAAAGTTCAAAAACCGAGATCAAACCGTTTACGTCTGGAGTTCCGTTTCTCGCACCGAGTAGTGAATTACTGGAATTCTCTACCGGAACAGGTAATATCAGCACCGTCTGTTAATATATTCAAAACGAGATTGGACCTCCACAGTATTACAAACTGCAAGGATTAATATAGGTCGACAGACCTCCTATCCTTATTACTGAAGACTGAGGACTGAACTGCATTACCACGACGAAGTGAAGTGTATATAAGTATTCAACGAAGCCAAGGAATCCATAAGCATCGCATCATTGAGAAGTATGGTGAAAGTTTCGCAACGGAAGTTGAGAAGAAAGTGGACAATTATTGCTTAAGAATTCTTAATACCAACTTGTAAACTTGATTTTCTGCTTCAGGAGTAATAATTATTCAATAAAGTTTTGCATAATTTTAATTTTCATTTTATTCCTACTTTCATGGGAATGAATAGCGATGATGTTCACGTGTAACTGTCTGTAATAATTAAGAATGATTAAGAAACCCTACATCCACGTAAAGTCTTACAAATTAGGCACCCACATAACATATTCACCTTTGTTGGATTACGTTTATCATCAAAATAGTATCAGTAGCTAAGTAGATTTTAATTTCATGTGTTTAGTTCCGCTTATGAATTAAAATGAAACCAGGAGAAATGTTGATTAACAGTGGTATGCATTCATTATAAGTAAATATGTATTAGGATTCAACAGTGATGTGGAAAACAGTTGACATACCTGAATATGAATAATTGAAATGACGTAGGTTATCAATAATGACTATATACGTAAGTATATATATATATATGTAGTTTAAGGTCAAAGGTTATTTGTTTTTACGATCAACAAAACATCAAGGATGGGTGGTGTAATAGTGGACTGGATTTCACAGACATATAAGTGGTGTGAAAATCTTATAGGTTATAAATGATCCGTGGATTTAAGAACTTAAAACTTAGGTTACGTAATAATTGATTACAATTTGAAGAGTTCACATAATTACAGAGGATTAAGTGAGTAGATGTAAGTGACAGGGTGCTGGAATAAATCGGTAACTAAATTTTAAAAGTGAAATGAATTATTACGTAACCCATCTTATTACTTGTTCATTCCATGGATTATAATGAATTCATATTATTGTCTATCTATATTTGTTTTAGCGTCATATCGACTATTTATAAATACGGACATGGTTTATAAATTAAGACACTGAGTATAGTTGAAATATTTATATTTCAATAATTCATTAGTTGAATAAAAGTGTCACTAGGCAATACGGAACACAGTTAACGTAAACTTGTAAACCGGTTTTTAATATGATCTTCCATAATCACAAATTCCATAAGTTGTAGACCGGCGTAAACACCATCACAAAGCTTTGAGGACTTTAAAGGATTCATACAATTCTGGAAAACAACAAATTAGTCGTGAAATAAAGAATTAGACTTAGTTATCAGCATCACATTCAATAAGTCAATCAAATAGCAGGTCACAGAATGTACGTATAAGTCTCTTATTGGCAGACAGCGCTAATCATTAGAGATTTCGATTTCCTTAAATAAAAATTCATAGGTAATCTTTACAACACAAATCAGTGTTATTTACAAATTGCTGAAGTTAGTATCATCAAAACATACAAGCGTCGTCTGACTTATGAAGAAAATGTAATTAATTAATGTGGCATAAAGGAGATATGAATACTAGAAACTTGTGATTCTGCTTCCATTGCTCATTCACTTCTTGTCACGTTGTCTGCATGAATTACTTCGGACGAGTCAGTCTGTAATGCAGTAGTAATTCATGAATTAACTCATTAACAGTTGTTATTTAATTCAAGTCTGTGTCGTAACAAGCACTGGGAACTTCATGTAAACAGCGCTATTCAGTGTCTAGCCCTTGTAGTATTTCGTCTAGACATTTGGTATTAGCAAGAGAAATTGGTAATCACCATTTAGATATTACTCGACAATATGCATCATAACTGTGTTCACATTTTGGTCTGCGATTGCGCATTGCGTTTACAGAAACTTATTCGTCAACCCTATAACAGACACATCATAAATCAGTATTAAGTACGACATGCTTTTGTCACCATGCTCAGAAGAGACACCCATCGTTTTACTTATGAAGATTTTGTGCCTATTTAATTTGGTGTTATACACTGTTCCTGTATACGTTTAGAAAGCCGGTAGAAAAGACTATCAACGTCAATTGTTACTCACATAATTTTTCTCTGATACGTTACACAATAATATGTCACTTCAGTACAAAACAATGCTGCCTATAGTGCATATAACCTCTTATGGCTAAATACAAACAAGTTATATGATATTCATAGTTAGGTTAACGCTTACTTGTTTCTAATTACATTTTCTAAACGACTACGGACATCTATGTTCGCCGTCACCATAATCAAGAAGGTGAACCATATATAATGGGTTTTACGGCTTATTTTCATGAAAACTCAATCTGTAATCTATTTTTGATTAGAAAAATGGTGAGTTTGAATTGTTAGACTTTGTATTGTTAAAAATAACCATATTACGCTAACTACAAATTTACTTAGGTGGTGAGCAAGAAATACGTCACACTGCTTATAAATTGCAACCAAAATTATCTTGCAAGCACAAACATTACGAAAATTCACGTGTAATGGAAAAAAGGCTGTTAATAACTGATAAATAACGACATGAAAAATCCACGACAATATGTGATATGTGCGCAAAAATCCGTGACTTAACACGCATAGTGTGCCGGCCAATCCATGGCGTACGATTAACTGATGAGCATTGGTTGTCCTTGACCTTGATGAGGATCGACGATTTGTTCAATATTCTATGGGCCAACTGTCGGATGATTTGTCTAGGGTTTAGTCACACTTCTCTGGCCCTACAAGTTCATGAAATCAAATTCAAACCTTATCAAGAGTGCTGTAAGACACCAAATATTTGCCCATTAGATCATGGCCGTTTCCTTGGTGATTTGTCAAATTTATTAAGCTAAGGCTTCTACTCCGTTCAAAACCATTTGAACTATTATGGTTGTTTTCAGAATTGAAGACACATTTATTCGAAGGAAGAATTATTTGTTGCATCATTGTGAGTTGTCCTTGATATCAGCATCTGTTTACATAAAGTTACATCGTATTTATTTTAACTCATTAATACCCATTTATCGAGTTGAGCGGTAAGTTTGTTGCACTGTGGTTTGTAGTGTCTGTTATTATGTTAAGTTCATATACCTTATTCTAGCTTTCGTACAGTCCATTCGGTTCATTCTACTCGAGTCATATTTTGACCTTGTTAATTATTCGCTTATCAATCTTGACTTTTTTATTTGAGCGCATATATGTGTGTGCACATGTCTGTAACTTATTTATGTGTAACTATAAATATTGATTAGCGCTTGACTAAAGGGAGTTGGCTTACCCACCATTTCCACTGCCTATCATTTCGCTTTTCTCTCTATTCTATTCGCTGCATCTACAAAGTATATGTATTCAAAAGTGCATTCTCGTTATTTGACTTATCTAATTCCGCTATTGACGAACACAATTTGAGTCGATGATTATATACGACGATAGGCGATAACAAATATTCATACGACCTAATTAGAGTCAGATCCACGTGCCACTAAAGTGGAGAGCCCGTCAACAAACATCGTCCGATCTAAATGGCGACAAAATAACGGGCCCCACAAAAGGTTGTTCGCAAATAGTTTTTCCATTAGTAGTCGAATACCTTATGTTTTTAGATCAAAAACAAAAATTCTGCTCACTGTCTTGGACCGTAGTGTCTTTACCCTCATTGAGTACTAAACACTGACAAAATTTTTCTACTGTCGTATAATAATACATTACTAGAAAAACATACTAAAAGATGCCTAACGTATGTGAGTAAAAGTCTTCTACGTTCGGTAATTTTCATCTTCAAGCTTGGTTATTTTCTAAGATTTGTACATTCCCAACCTCACTATCTTTGGAAAATCTTGAGGTTTTCCTCAAAGTCGTAGGGGATATGTTAGTTCTCCCCAAAGTTTGGGAAGATTTTGGGAAAATATAAGATTCTTGGGGAATATTGGGGAAAACCAAAACGTTTTGGAGATATACCCAAAGCTGAGGAGACTCCAGAGTTTTCCGTAATAATTTCCCCAAGATTTACCTAAATAGAAAATTTCCCCTAAAATAGGGAGATTGGGTTAAAACCGTCCTGGCAGTTTAAATATCATTCGAACACTCACTCATAAGTGCTGGGAAAAAACCGAAATTGCGAAAAAGTTTTGGGGTTTTATCATGTGATTTTGACAGATTTCCCCTAATGTGTTATAAGAATCTGGGGAGATTTTTTTTGGGAATTTCTCAAGATCTGGGGAAACGTTTTTGGGTTTTTGTGCCATTTCCTCAAAATTCTCCATAACTGCTTCCTCAAAACGGACAAAATTTTCCGCCAAATATGGGAATTAGGGTACAGAGCATCTGTGTGCATCTACTTGTCAGCCAGATGTACAACAGCATGATCAATCTGCTGAGAACTAGGTGAACCCATTAAAAAGTCTGCCAAGCTTTCTTTGTAAGCCCGTCATTGGAATCCTCGTCTTGTTCGTCCTGTGTAACAATCTACTTATTCAACAAAAATCAATGAGACTATAATTTGTGGACATGCTCAAAGTCAACTTAGCGTCGCTCAAAAGTCATCCATAAATTATAGTCTCACCGAATTTAGTTTTCTTAACCGCTTGGTCATGGCTTATTGTTTTTAAACAACTGACGGGGTTATAGGCTGTGTACATGTATATCAAGGCTTAACAGTGGTAGCAGCTGCATTCTAATCGAAAACTTTTAAATATTCTAAGTTCCTATTTCAGATTATTCTCGAGTCGTCTGTCTTCTATCACCTGCTGACACTCTTGAAGAGCAACCAATCTCCTCTACAATGCCTGGTATACTTTATTGTCTTTTCTGGTTTTACTTCCTTGCGGTCACCTGGTTCTTCTGGAGTTCGGTAGTGTCGGCATGTTTCAAAATCCAGATTATCCAACACTTGTATATTTCTATGTTGGATAGACTGTTTTCCGTATGTTAAAATTCTTTCGCTGATGTATACACATAGTACGCCGCCTCGGCTGTCACAGTAAAAGACGACATTAAAAGAATAAGGAGTGTTGACAGTTTTGAAAACCTTGATACGTATGGTTGGTTGCTCCACTTCAGTGATCTCTTGCTTCAGATGATGATTTGATTGAAAGGGACATTCAACTAACTGAAGGAGGTGTAAAGGTTAAAAATCATCTTGTTCCAGATCAAAAAGGATTCAGATTATACTACCCAACCTACTTAGTTAAATGTGGGATAGAGGTTTGTGGCCTCTTACAAATTACTGTCTTAGGCTATTATAGAAGATTCTGTCACCAAGAGATTCACAGCTGCGGAGTTAAGAGTATGGAATTTCTTGAGTCGCAACCAGAGTTATGTATATGCCAAGTAGGTGTGTTCTTTTTACCATTCACTTCATAGGAGAGATAACCATACCACCCTAATGATGCTATGGCTTGTGGGCCTCATTGTTCGCTATGTAATATTCCTGCCGTGCAGGTAAGCTTTATAGTTATCAATAATTCCTCAGACTTGTTGTTTTCCTCTCCTCAGTTTTCTTAACATGGATTTTAGGCGCTGTGGCTCGGAAGCTTCCTCCTTCACGGTACTTTCATTTTGTTACACTTATTTATGAAGGTTTAAAAACTGGTTATCCACCGAAGGAATCCAGGCAGCCGTACGGCTTAATTTGTGTTCATTCTCCGCTGTTATTCGTTTCCACAACAGGTTTGTTTGTTTAACCAATTAGTATAATCGTTTACCAATTACTTTTTCAAAAAAAACTGCGACGTATATTATCAAGCATTCGTAATCATCTTTTTAAAAATTATGGAAGACTTTTTGGCATAGGACCACTTCTTAATAGTTTCTATTAAGTTATAGACGTGTTTTTGTATCTGGGAAGATGGTTACGGGATCGACCCAAATAAACTCCGGAACTAACAGTGATAACTTGTCATGTTCATCAATTATATTATTAGATAATGAAATGTTCTGTCATCAAACCTAGCACATAATTTCATAATGGACTTCGAGCCACATTCCCAATGTATGAGTTGGATGTTCTGTTCAGTTTCCAGTCACAGTGGATTCATGCGTAAATCTGGTTGGTGGATACGAAAGGTTCACATAAAGAAGTTCACAAATTCTGCTTTCGAGACAGCGGTGCATATGGGACCAAAACATTGAAACAATAGATGGTGTTTGGGCTAAGCTGAGATACTAGTTATATATATATATATACCAGATTAATTTTTATCAAGTTATATTATCTCTGCGTTGTTTGACGAAAACACTAAGCTAACACATATTTTTGATAATTGTTCATAAAGTGTTACAATTACAACTAAGAGTACTTAACCATATTTCGACTGTCATTGGTTAGGGTACAGGTATTTGAAATGAAGTTTGATAACTTATTATAATCGTAACTAAAAATCATACGTTTGCTTGCATATCGTAAAAAAACTTTGTTTCTAAATTTGTTCATAGTAAATTATCACACCCAATTATTTTATGCTGTTAGAAATTAATCGTATTTATGCTTATTATCTTTTGTATAGAGAAAACCGCCCTAAAGCAAATACAATTTGTGTCGCCAACCACACGACACCGTTCGATTGGTGCATTCTGGCCTCAGACGTTACCTACGCTGTTGTAAGACTTTTCCATAGTTTATTCTGTAATTTTATTTCACCATTTGAAGTTATTTTGCTTTGTGTATTAAACAATAGTGAACTGTGTCTAAGTGTGAGAAATGATTGAGTTGTAGGCATTGGTTATCGAATTCCCAAAGTATTTCCTCTCCGAGTAATATTGATTCTTGGTGTAGAGTACTTGATAAAAGGGGAAATCACTTGTCATCCTTTATCAATTAAAGTGGTTGGGATTACTCTTAAGCATCCACCTACTCCGAAATATGGTGTTAGCTTACATAAGATTATGCTTTAACAGTCTAATATTAGTCAAATCAAATGTTTAAAGTTAGTTCCAACTTCATAAATGATTATCAGCGAACAGATATGATAATTTTGTACCAGATCAATTGATTAACCTTTTATTCTATTTGCTATACTTATTTTCCACTCTATAGTAACTCCTGCGATTGAATAAACTGATCTTAATTTCAATTGATGGGTTGAAATTCAGATTAACTCAGTTCGTGTTGTATTCTTCGAAACTACTCATATATACATGTATCCAATCACAATTTTTTTGTGTAGTTAGCACTAGTGTTAACAAATTTCTCAGCCTGAAATTAAGAAACAAATCCTTAATTGTGAAACTGACCACTGAGTTTCATCATAGTTTGGTGATTCATTAAATCCTATCCATTCTTTGACTCAATAGGATGTCAAAAATAATAAGCTTCACTTAAAACGCAGAGTCATTTCATTACACGACATCTACGTAACATATTTTCTGAATATCCTTACCGGAAAGAAGCTTATCAAAAAGCAATATAAAATAAACACTTAGTTATTGTTGAGATAACCTAATTGGCTGCTGATATTAACAACAGTTCATTTTATCCAATTAGTTCACAATTGAAAGAAAAAAAGTTGAAGAAACGTATAAATGTTACTTATGATCAATTTTAGACTTCATTAGGTTATTAAAACAACATGAATTACTGTAATAGAAAACTAAATAAGAAATATATCTTCAAAGATTCTAAAAATATAACAACGTAATTGATAAAATATCTCAAAGCACTTGGAGGAACATCTTATTTCACAGAACTTAATCTTCAGCAGTCAGAGGTATAATATTTCTTCGGTTAGAAGCCTGCTACTTTTCAGTCAAAGTAATCACACGTTCACTTATGATCGACCTTCAGCTACAAAAATGAATAAACACCTAGCTTATTTGTCCAAATCACTAACAGATATGTGCCGTATAAAAATATAACTGACATATTTAACTTAGTCATGGTGTAATATTGTCTTACATACATCTACATTTCAAATGTATGTAGTATACTGATTATGGTTCAATATAACTAGTTACTCATTTTTAAAAAGTATTCATGTTTGTGCTTAGTTTTAAGCTGCACTCCTTATATGTAGACTGGTATTACTAATCGACTACCCCAATCGTAGTAGGTAGGGTGAGTTTCGAACGTTTAACCTACTGTGGCGAACTCTACTCTCAAGATTGCTTTAATTAGTATATAGCGGAACGTGGCCTCGAAGCTCTCGCAGTTATCAGATGGAAAGAAGAGTTTCTGCACATCAAAAGCAGAGCGTAGGCAGAAAACTTAAAGACTAGAAGAGAAAACAGTTCACATTTTAGAACACACCGCAAGGTGCAAATGAATGGCAGAAGGTTATGTATACGTATTATTTAAATGCTATTTTCTTAAGATACACATAGATTCCTTCTGTCCATTGTCTTGTTCTAAACTATCACCGATTGAGAACCGAGTTCCATTACTTCACCAATTTCGAGTGGTAGGCAAACGTTATTGCGTAGCGATAATTTAGTGGTCAAGAGATCCAACTTTCTGCCACCAAGCCTCACTTCACCCAATTCAGCTTGGGCAACCAGGTAATATCATTAGCTCCTTACATTTAGTCTGGCTCATATAGAAGTACATCTGGTGAGTGAGATTACTTTTTCTATATTATCATTTATATTACTCTGCCGATACAACAATAAATTATAAATGAATACTGAGTGGTTAAATAAAAAAACAATTGTCTAGTTCCTTGTCAGTTTTGTCTAGTTAATTAGGCGATTTCTATAATATTTGTAAACCTTAAATATTAGCTATTATTTTCTATGAATGACACTATCCTCAATAGTTTTTTTCTTTTATTCAGGTTGGGCAAAAGCATGGAGGATTTTTTGGTTTTGCTGAACGGGTAATCTCGTGTGCTGTGCCTGCCGTTTGGTTTGATCGTGAGGAAATTTTAGATCGTCTTTCTACAGCTAAAAGGTTAAAAAACCACGCAGCTACACCGAATGCTGAACCTATTCTAATTTTTCCAGAAGGTACTTGTATCAATAATACATCAGTCATGAAATTCAAGAAAGGTTGTTTTGAAGTGGGCGCTGAAATTCATCCTGTTGCAATCAGAGTATGTATTGCTTTTTAACGAAAGCTTCCTAAGTATATATATATATATATGGTTTGCTGTAGTCAGCAGGAAATGTCGAACCTAGGTTTCGTGCTAGCTGTCACTCGTCAGCAAGAAGTGCCTAAAATCTTCAGGGAACTGATACTCCCTATGGAATTATAACTCGCTTCCCCCAGCTTCGCATTCTGAAATGTTACTGTAGAGCTATTCTGACCTCGACTTATTTCTTAATGGACTGAAACATTTACATTGACTTATCAATGAGTATTGACCAATTTCATATTTGTTAGTCCTTTGGTGCTGATCGAATTCTGTCGGTCAGTTGTTTGACCATTCAATAAAAATACTGTCGCTAGAGTGCTTATACGTAAATAAGATCTTCTTTGTAAAATTTAAACTTTATACTTATCGCTAATTGTGTTAATGAAAATTAATATATATGTTCTCATTCGGTTTGGGCACCCGGGCAGTATCACAGCCCTCACACATATCGAATGAGATTTGTGTGGCGCATATGTATTTGGTGCCTCCTTGTACCAATATCTATGTGTTAAAATAAATAAATAAATTCAGTATTTATGGCTTAACTGCTAAATGCACAGGCTATCAAACATCCTCACTCTCTGCCCTTTACCACTTTGACTTCAACTTGTTGAAATTTTAGTTCTTCCTTTAGTGAAAATAAGTAAAATGTACCACTATTTGCTATCTGTTATGACCATCAGATGCTCATAAGTCGTTGCTACACTTCAGAATACAACTGGATAGCAGTTATATGTTCTGAAAAATAACATGTCACTGCATTTTAAATCCCTGCAATATATTTATATATGTTAGATTGTCACATAGCGACGTATATAACAGTTAACTTGAATCATATTCTTTGACAACTAACATTTTCTATTAATAAGTGCTGTCACAAGCTCAAACCCATTCATTATCGCTGACAATTTCGTTTGCTTTCACTCATCATTAGGTGTCGATCGTACTACTCACAAGTTCATTGGAGTTAAAAAATAGTAGACCATTAAGTAATTCTCATAATTATTTGTTGGATGGCGTTTGATGGATACATAACGTGAAATCATTCACAATATAATGTATATTTATATTCATTCTCTGTCATTTTGTAAATCTTGAATTAAATGTCATTCTTAACGTTCTATCTTTCCATCACATTTATCCTTTCTCTCACTGTATTCCACATGTTTAAATCTAAATTGCCTTTATGTTATTTTCCATTCTGTCCTCGTTTTGTTGATTGCCTTCCACTGTCTTGCAGTACTTATACTTCCTATTTTGTAAATTCGTTCTGTCTCCTCAAATCACATTCTCTATTTTCTACTACAACTAACACTGTTAGCATTTCTACTACTCTGTCTGTTGTCATAAGAATTTCATTTTGCTGTGCTAATCAGGTTTGGCAACTTAAACTGGTGCACATGCGTACCAGGTTCCACCTTGTTTACCACTGGCTGATTCGAATCTCGGTAAAATATGAGAACCATACATTGAATACTTCATTTGCTAATCTCTTGTCATTTGTCCTTCACATTCTGTATGATTCTTCCAAGTTACAATTTCTTTATATTTCCTTTTCTGTTTTCCTCAAGTCTAACTTCCTAGCCTTCTGCTGCCATGGATTGCTATTCTGACTGGTGTTACATTACTACTTATATCTGTCGACATAAGTAGTATACAACATAGTTCTCAACCAATAAAGAAACAACAAAACAAATTTTTCTCATTTTTCATGAATTTGTCACCCAACATTATTTCGTTTCAGTTACCCCTTTCCAATTATTCAAGGCCGTTCAACCGTACAATAAAAGCACTGCTGAGTAGTCCCACAATAGGACGAAACGGCCGTCCAGTGCCTCTAGGTTTTCCATGGTGGTCTAGCTTCAATCGACCCATGATCTTGACTATTGAAAAATCATTTTACTGAATTTTATAGTTCCATTACGTATCATTTGTATGATTTTAACTAGTCTTTTAGATATATAGAAGGCATTTATTGATTATTTGTTGATTACTTTTCTCCTCCCCCATCTCTCATGTCCTATAAAAGTACAATCCATTATTCGCTGACTGTTTTTGGAACAGCAGCCTAGATAGTTTATTCCAGTACAGTTTAAAAATAATGACATCATGGGCTATTATGGTAGATGTTTGGTATTTACCACCCACTAGAAAATCAGATCAAGAAGATTCAATTGCATTTGCAAGACGTGTACAGTATAGTATTGCACAATGTGGCGGTATGATTGGAATGGATTGGTAAGTAGTTGATAGAATATCCTTTCTTTTTTTAATCTTAACGTTACCTTTGTATCATCGATCAATCTCTAAGCAGTGACTAATTTCGTGTTTGTCTGGTCCTTTTTTGCTAATCAAGCAATTTGAAGTTTTTCCACCGGCCTGAGTGACTTTATATTGCATGTGCTATGTCAAGATGCTGAGTGACTGAAGGTAATAGACAAGAAACCTAGGTTTCGTATTGGTTGGAACTCATCAGCAAAAAGCACCTGCAATCTTAGAGGAGCTAATCCTGTCTGTGCAACCCGAGCCCTTATAACCCTCGCTCAGCGTTTGAGACGGCAGTTACGCTTTGGTGATGAGTCTCAACTATCACGAAATTCAGACCCGGGGTTTACAGCAAACGACCTTCCGTCATATCTCACTTCTCTTTATTTTGTTTCTTTTTGCTACTAGCTCACAATCTACTATGTTTTCAACAACATTTAAGATTTCACCGGGTTATACTTCTTGAATAACATCTTCAAACCCTAATCTTTCCGAGTATTGCTTATACTTTTACTACCTTTACCACTATGGGATTTGAATCGACAAGTGTATCTCTGCGCTAATGTGGTATGGCAACTTGATCTGATGTACGTACGTACGAAGTTCTACGTTGCTGCTGACTGGCTGACATTTAAGATTTATGTCTTACTCGTGTTTCGAAAATACAAACGTTGAAGTGTAGAGATAATTGCATGTTGCAGTGATAATTTGCATCATTATTAGTAAAATAGCTCACTAATCATATGCATAGCTTCACAGGTTTGCCCAACAGCTAGAATTCTAATTATTTTCTAAGGTAGACCACCACTGAGAACCGAAAAGCACAATCTCCACAAACCCCTATATTGATAATTAAAAGTCCGCATGAAATGTAATTGGAACCCCTTTTATTCTTACTGTTTAGAGTTTTGTTCAATTATGTCTCCGATGTGGCACCATCTGAGGTGCTCTACACGTCTAGATATAGACGACTACCAAGACAGAAAACTCCGCCCATAGCTCTTCTAGAGTTACTGCCGGTCCCAAGCCCGGGTAAAGGAGGAGAGTTGGACATGGGGTTAGCGACCCCATCCTGTAGAAAACCAACTCGCTAAAAAACGCTAACTAGAAAAAGTAATTCAAACCATTTAAACTCTGCCCTGAAAGTTAGAAGGTCTTCATTTAGAAGAATTATGACGCCTCATGGTGAAAGCCGAGTTTCTTCGGAAGCCATGAGGCCGATACACCTAACAACCAGAGCAACAATTTTTATAGGTACATGGAACGTCCGAACAATGTGGGAGACCGGGAAGACTAGTCAAATAGCAAAGGAAGTGAGGAGATACAACTTGGCAGTACTGGGAATCAGCGAAACCCATTTGACCCAAGCTGGACAGAAAAGGCTAGCTACGGGAGAGATGCTGCTATACTCCGATCACGAAGAGGACAATGCTCCACACACTCAGGGAGTCGCTCTTATGCTGTCCAAAGTAGCACGAAATTCACTTGTAGGATGGGAATCTCACGGATCCAGAATCACCAAAGCATCATTCAAAACAAAGAAGGAGGGGATCACAATGAATATTATCCAACGTTATGCACCCACCAATGATAGCAACAACGACATTAAAGTTCAATTCTATGAGAGGCTGCAATCGATCATAGAGCAGTGCCCAAGAAAGGACCTCACCATCCCGATGAGAGATCTAAATGCCAAAGTCGGAATAGACAACACCGGATATGAAGATATCATGGGACGACATGGACTGGGTGAGAGAAACGAAAATGCAGAAAGGTCTGCAAATCTGTGTGCATTCAACAAATTGGTCATAGGAGGCCCAATACTTCCACACAAACGTATACACAAAGCTACATGGATCTCACCGGACCACACCACAGAGAACCAGATAGATCATATTTGCATCAATAAAAAGTTGCGAAGGACAATGGAAGGTGTGAGAACCAGGAGAGGAAGTGACATAGCTTCAGATCACCACCTTGTTGTGGCCAATTTAAAACTGAAGCTAAAGAATAACTGGACAAGTGGACAAACAGCAATACAAAGGTTCAATACAGCCTTCCTTCGAGATACTGACAAACTCAGTGAATTCAAGATATCTCTCAACAACAGGTTCCAAGACTTACAAGATCTACTGAAGAAAGAAGAAACTAGTATGGAGGACAACTGGAAAGGCATCAAGGAAGCATTAACTTCAACGTGTCAAGAGGTTCTGGGTCTAAAAAAATACCATCATAAGGAATGGATCTCTACAGAAACACTGGACAAGATCAAAGAAAGGAAGAACAAGAAGACAGCAATTAACAACAGCCGAACACGAACAGAGAAAGTCCAAGCACAAGCTGAGTACATAGAAGCAAACAGGCAAGTGAAGAAGAACACTAGAGCCGACAAGAAGAAATACGTGGAAGAACTAGCAACGACGGCGGAAAAAGCTGCAAGGGAAGGAAATATGAAACAGCTTCACGATACAACGAAGAAACTAGCAGGGAAATACAGTAAACCAGAGAGGCCGGTCAAAGACAAAGAAGGCAAGCCAATCACCGAAATTCAAAAACAGAATATCAGATGGGTAGAATACTTCGAGGAACTCCTGAATAGGCCGGCTCCAATGAATCCAGTATACATCGAAGCAGCACACACAGATCTTCATATAGATGTCAGTCCACCAACGGCGGAAGAAACCAGAATAGTCACCAGACAAATCAAGAGCGGGAAAAGCGCAGGACCCGACAACATACCAGCTGAAGCACTGGAGTCAGACATCGAAGTAACTACAAACATGCTTCACCTTCTATTCAAAAAGCTCAGAACCAATTAGACGATTTGGACACAGCTCTCATATCGCATACACATGAGAAAGTGCAGATAAAGACAGCCACTGTAGCAGCAGTGTCTGCATCAGTAGGCCTCAACATGCACAAAGGAAACACCAAGACCTTCAAATACAACACGGAGAACACCAACCCAATCATACTTAATGGCGAGACTCTGGGAGATGTAGAATCCTTAACGTACCTGGAAGGAGGGTCAGACTCAGACGTAAAGGCAAGGATTGGCAAAGCAAGGACAGCATTCCTACAATTGAACAACATCTGGAACTCAAAACAACTCTCAACCAATATCAAAATGAGAATCTTCAATGCGAACGTCAAGATAGTCAGTTCTACTGTACGGAGCTGAAACATGGAGAACTACAACAACCACCATCAAGAAGGTACTAGTATTTATAAATAGCTGTCTACGCAAGATACTCAACATCCATTGGCCGGATACCATCAGCAACAGTCCACTGTGGAAGAGAACAAACCAGCTTCGAGCTGAAGAGGAAATTAGGAAAAGACGATGGAAATGGATAGGACATACATTGTGGAAATCATCAAACTGCATCACGAAGCAAGCCCTAACTTCGAATCCTGAAGGGAAACGGAATAGAGGAAGGCCAAAGAACACATTACGTCGGGAAATAGAAGCAGATATGAAAAGGATAAATAGGAGCTGGAAAGGATTGCCCAGGACAGGGTTGGATGGAGAATGCTGGTGAGCGGCCTATGTTCCTTCACGAGGAGTAACAGGCATAAGTAAGTAAGTAAGTAAGATCGGATATTGTGATTCACACAAAAACAAGAAAGTCGACTAAATATAATTTGAGAACCTTCAAAGCATAGAAGGTATAACATACGAATGAACATATAGTTTAGAATTTTGATTCGTTTGGTCAACACCTCTTTAACTATCGTTTATCCATTTTGCTGTAATTACTTAAAGCAAATCACTATCGAAGTTTCTTTAAACTATAAATAACAAGTTTGACTATTGACTCTTTACTTATAGGGTTTTCATTCTTTTGTATTTTTATTATTGATGTCGTTAAATCTAAAAATATCACATGGACTATAAATGTTTTCAGTTGATTGTCATTTAGAATTGACCCATAAAAATTATTAAGACCAAATAAAAATTGATGAGGAAAAAGGGAATAGTTATCTAGCGCATGAGGTTAAATAATTTCGATGACGCGATAAGATGAATCTTGTTACTTGGTTTCAAATTTTACTCCCGTATGTATTTACTCTTTAAAATTGAATAGCATCAATCCATTAATCAGTCGTCAACGAAGGACCCGATATGTACGTGCATTAGTTCAATTTATCACATTTGAGATCAGATAAACAAGAATTTAATATGATGAGAAGCATAGGATGGAAAACATTGAAAACAACGAGAATTTGGACATGAAGAATACAGTCTTAAAGAAAGAACGGAAAAACAGTTATGACACTCGATTCCAGGCTGGAATGTTTGACATTTGCGCCACTGTGATCAATGACGTACCAGATCACTTGATATTTGTAAGCAACAAAATAGAAGACCGGAAATTTTTTCTGCAACACGCGACTAATCCTAGAGAATATATAGTTGAGAATGAATGAATGAAAAATATGAAATTCTATAGTAAAATCCTTCAGGTTTAATTAATTAATAAAGATAAATCTCATAAATTCGAAAATTATACATAACCACAAAGTAGTCACCAGTGTACAAAAAGTTTCATTTTCAAAATAATGGAAATTTTTAGCTCAGAAGGATAATTCTGTTGGAGTTTGCGTTCTCCTAGCTGTTTGCTTTAATTTTGATAAAAACCAGGGAATTTTTAGAAGCTTGGTACTCAGATCAGTCATTGATCGATAAACGTGTCGATATCAAACCTATAACAATCACAAGCAACTGTAAGGTGAAGAGTTAGGTCAGGGTAGAAGACAATTAAATAAATATGTAGATAATTGCAGGATGAGTGCCGGCAACAACCAACCAGAATCAAGATTACTAGAGCGATACATTTGATGATTTCACTATTGTTTGTACTGATCATATCATCTAATAAGTCAACAGAAGCTTCACGATCAAATTACTAATCTCACAGTACTGTTGGATTTTGACTTATCGGTAGTTTAAAAACACCATACTTGACATATAACGTGTATATCGTGAACTCTTATTGCTAAGGAGTTCGAAACTGAAATGTGACAGTCACGTGGTGTTATCCGATTTTCAATAATTTCCCACGTGATATTAATCTATAGTAAATACTGATTTAGAATTATTTGTTGGAATGGTAATAAAAAACGAAGACTTTTTGTTGATAAACTTAGTGATTTTGTACCACAATTATTCGTGTTCGAGGTTTCTGTTCTTGTTTGCTGAAAAAATGTGGTACACACTTAATCGAATGATATTATTCTATAAAAGTTAAGAAATGGGGGCTTCTATAAGTAAAGCCTGTTCTATGGAATAGTGGGTTCGTGGTTAGATCACATCATTTAAACAATCAGATTGCAGGTTTGAACCCTTCCCTTCACATACTTCTGTTAGGGAAATCTTGAAATAATGTTACACGAAGTAGATTATTGATGTATTGGGAGTCAACTAAACTAATAATACTGAAAGGTATTGTTTGTTAATAGGTGATTAACCGTCAGGCCGCAATGTACAAGAGACAACTGCATGAGACTAAATAGTTCCTGATGTTGTTAGCAACATATTTTGAGGGCTTTGTCACTGGTGACGAAAATCTATGTGGAATAAGGCAAACTATCTTGTTTTTAGTCCCGGTCTTTTCTAACTACCACGTTCTGTCATGGAAAGACTACATCACTGTAGATACTGGTTATCTAAGGCAAATGCCTTACTGCAATCAGAACTGTAGTACAGTGAGGAAAATGACTTCGTCGTTAGACTTTAAGTTGATGCCTTTAGTCCTGCTGTTCTCCGACCGATCTGCATGACATAAAATGACAGTTCCATACAATATAACTCGATTGAGTCATCATAGTGTCCTACTTAGATCACCACGACCACCCCATCAAGGTAGTAACTATAGTCAGTCGTTTATCTTCTTATGTTATCACGTCTATTTTTATTTCTTCATTCATAGGGATGGTGAATTAAAACGAAACAGACCAAAAGACACATTGAAACATGCACAACAAAAATATGTTAGTCAATATGTCATACCTGCTGACTCACAATCATCCTCTACATAAAAAAAACTGATCTATCCTGTATACACACCCACACACGCATTCTCTATTGAATCCTACCAAATTGTTATTGTTTATTTTTGAATTAATATTTTACATTTGAATTTGTAGTTATCTTACAATTTAAATTCTCCTTAGTTTACACACATTCCTCTGTTTTATATTATTATTATTATTATCAAAAGAGAGTTCATCCAGAGCAAGTGAAATCACGCTTTTCTATTTTGCAACAATTCATTGTTCTTTTCTTGTTTTCCTGTATTTGAGATTGAAACTTTTGTAATCCTCTTACTTTTGTATTTGTTATTGACAAGCTGTTTCGATTATTATTATTATTACCAAATATATAGACTCCAATTACCGCTGCGCCGCTATATATATATATATATATATATATATATATATATATATATATATATTAGTCTGTTTATTTGCCCTTTGATATCTCTATCAGTTAGTCAACCAACCCCTCTGTCTTCTAATCATTTTTACATTAATGTGACAATCTTGTTGATTCTGCTACTGCTTATTTTCTTTCCTCAAACAAACAAGAATTAATATGTTCTATTTATCATTTCAATGTCTAGAGGAAGTGATGGAAGAGTTGAACGGTATAAAAGGAATTCATAAACATAATGGTGTATATACTCTTGATTGGTTTTAATTTTCATCTTATACATCAGACAAGTATGGTTTTTTCCCTTAACCCTAAAACGATAAATTTGGGAGGAGGAACAAGTGCCGATGGACTGGAAAGAAGGGCACCTCGTCAAGATTCCAAAGAAAGGAGATCTGAGCAAATGTGAAAACTACAGAGGCATTACACTACTGTCAATACCAGGGAAAGTCTTCAACAGAGTGTTGCTGAACCGGATGAAGGATGCAGTAGACGCCCAACTTCGAGATCAACAAGCTGGATTCCGTAAGGATCGGTCGTGCACAGACCAAATTGCAACACTACGGATCATCGTCGCACAGTCAATTGAGTGGAACTCAACACTTTACATCAACTTCATTGATTATGAAAAGGCATTTGACAGTGTGGATAGGAGAACGTTATGTAAACTTCTTCGACACTACGGAGTTCCTGAGAAGATTGTCAATATTATCCGGAACTCATAGGACGGACTACAGTGCAAGGTCGTGCATGGAGGACAGCTGACAGATGCATTCCAAGTAAGGACCGGAGTCAGACAAGGCTGTTTAATCTCTCCCTTCCTCTTTCTTCTCGTGGTCGACTGGATTATGAAAACCTCGACATCTGAGGGAAAACACGGAATACAATGGACAGCTCAGAATCAATTAGACGATTTGGACTTCGCAGATGACCTAGCCCTCCTATCACGTACACATGAACAGATGCAGATGAAGACAGCCAGTGTAGCAGCAGTCTCTGCATCAGTAGGCCTCAGTATGCACAAAGGGAAAACCAAGGTCCTCAAATTCAAAGCGGAGAACAGCAATCCAATCACACTTGATGGCGAAACTCTGCAAGATGTAGAGTCCTTCACATACCTGGGAAGCATCATCGATGAACAAGGAGGATCAGATGCAGACGTAAAGGTGAGGATCGGCAAATCAAGGGTCGCATTCCTACAATTGAAGAATATATGGAACTCAAAACAACTCTCAACCAATATCAAAATGAGAATCTTCAATGCGAACGTCAAGATAGTCAGTTCTACTGTATGGAGCTGAAACTTGGAGAACTACAACAACCACAATCAAGAAAGTACAAGTATTTGTAAATAGCTGTCTACGCAAGATACTCAACATCCATTGGCCGGATACCATCAGCAACAGCCTACTGTGGGAGAGAACAAACCAGCTTCCAGATAAAGAGGGAATTAGGAAAAGACGATGGAAATGGATAGGACATTAACTACGCAAACCGTCGAACTGCATCACGAGACAAGCCCTAACTTGGAATCCTGAAGGAAGGCCAAAGAACACATTACGTCGGGAAATAAAAGCAGATATGGAAAGGATGAATAACAACTGGAAGGAGCTGGAAAAGGATTGCTTAGGACAGGGTTGGATGGCGAATGCTTGTAAGCGGTCTATGCTCCTTCACGAGGGGTAACAGGTGTAAGTTATTGAAAGTAGATACAACTTGAATATCAAGAATGATGTCAATTTGTACTTGCCTAGTTGTTTTATTTTTCTTAAATATAAGGTGCTGTAGACTTTATGGACAAATCACTTAATCTCATCCATTAGTCTAGACGGAAAAATGTATTTATATGGAGATGGCTAGCTCATTTTAAGGGAATTTGTACAAGCAAAATGTGTTGTAAAAGAAGGTCTTTGACTTCCTACCTTCAACTTGTTCATTTTACTAAGACAAATAAGATCTTCATCAAGCTTCGAAAATCGATCAAATTGATCATTATTTATCTTCAGTATGTACTTATAACCATACTCATAATATTAAATACAAAACATGACTTGAGAATTTATGTAAACAACTAAAAAATCTCCATCGTCTCGAAGTTATTTCTAATGGCAAGAACTGAAATGGTTGACGGATTATTCTATCACAATTTAAAGAAGTAGGTCATGACGGTCTAGCACACTGACTGTGGTATACCGTATTTGCAGCTAAATAACATTGTGAAGAAATAGAAGACGCGAAAGTCATTTAGTTCATCAATAGATGAACAACGGTATTTAATTAAAGATATAGTTTAGTTAAGAAAACAAACTAATTGAATTTCGGTCAGTTAAAATGCTCTATTTTTCATGGATGAAGTAATCAAAAAATTACACAAGGGTTTACAGTAGCTCCTATTTTGAACAGACTCTGAAACCACTTGGTTGTATATCGGCATAGCAGGAACAAAATCACGAGTAAAGAGCAGAACTGAACTGACTAACATGACCACCTAATTGCATATGATCGGAATAACGTTGAAAATGAACCACAAATGGGCCAGATTAACACATTCTGGTCTGACTTTTTCCATAAACACATCGAATTTGTGCGTCATACCAGAATGAGGACTTAAACAGTGACTTAGATATGCGACATTTTGAAGTATGTTCAACGTTGAAGATAAATGAGTCAGTAGTTACAAACTTCTACCTCTCGAGTTCTCATTAGATTAAGAATATGGCTATATCGCCTTAGCTGTAACAATACTCTCATGTGAATAAACTGTGACAATCACTTTGATAGGACTCCAACCCACTGTTAAACAATTCCTACAAAAGTGGCTTTTCAAAGCTTAAACGTATTTGTACAATACAGTGTTAATCTTGACTAATAGATAACGAGATCATTTTACAATCTGGTTTCATATATATAGTATAACTGTTCAAGATTTTCCACAAAATTGACAACAATAAAACTTAATTTTGTGAATATATATAAAATTCTACAAATGATAATCGGTTTATTATAATCAAAGTATATTTATTTCAGAATAAACCAAATGATCGAAATGTAATCGACGTAATAAATTTTCACGTTTCTTTTTTTTTTATAACAAATATATATGTTTATCAGTTTAGGGGTTGTGGAGATTGTTAAGTTTTTGATTGAGATCGTGAACCGATTGATGTTAGACCACCATTGAAAACCTGGAAGCACTGGACGGCTATTTTGTCCTATTGTGGGACTCCTCAGCAGTGCGCATCCACGATTTCATCATCATATCCTACATCTTTTCAATAATTAGGTGACTAAATTAAAATTTCTTTAAACTTATTCAATTCAACATTGATGAGAGTCCCACAATAGGACGAAATGGCTGTTCAGTGCTTCCAGGTTTTCCATGGTGGTCTAACTCGGATTGACTCATGATCTCAACCATTGAAATTACTATAATACCCCTTCTGATATTAAAATTATTCCAAGTTGAGTTAAAAAAACAATCGACTACTCATTACCTTTTAAGTGTGGTTATTAGATAGATTAATTTATTAAAGTGTACTTACTATATATAAATTTCACTCAATATGAATCTATGGTTATAATGTCACAGAACTTATTATTAATATTAGTTTAATAATAAGATAAAGGAACTAATAAAACATGATATTGATTTCGGAATTTGTTAACATGTAATAAGAAAAATAAATAAGAAAAAAAACAACTTATGTTAACACTTTTTCGACATATGACCTATTATCACCACATTGTAGGTAATTGTTATGAATGATAGTTTAATGACTTATGATAATGAATGAATACAATACTGCTTGACTGACAATGTACAATGATATAATGTGATCAAGTGATAACTGTTCAATAGAGTGAATTATTGATGTATGCCCAGGATAGAGTTGGACAGAGAATGCTGATAGGCGGCCTATACTCCACTACGAGGGATAACAGGCGTAAGTAAATAAGCTCTCAAAATGAACAAATATCAGAATACTAGTCAGATGCCCAGGAGTTTAGGTACTAATACACTGATTATTAAATACAAGAAATAAGTATGATAAAAATTCATTTGAAATAAGCTATTGAAAGATACGGAATTCGTAGGTCACTCAATGAAAAAAAGCCTAATCATCAGGCTCTATTCTTCTATCATATCACTAATATTTGTAACTTAATTAAATAAGCATTATTAAAAAGTTTTAAGTTGATATTCTTGACTGAATTTCGATCAGCCTTGGTCGGCATGTGTGTTTTTTGCAGGGATTACCTTGATATAGCCATTTTACAAGTTTTTATTGAATAAATGAGAGGTGGATACCTGATATCGAGTTCCAGTTAAAACATCAACACTAAGATGGAGGTATATCCGGTTGACAAGTCCCAAATAATAAAAAGGAATGCTTATCCTGGATTTCACTGCTAACCGAAATCCATCTACTCAGTTAATCGATAGATTTTAGTGGTAAGTATGGTTAGTGAGCAATTGAGTTATTTGTCACTGTTACTTAAAAACAAGTTGAGGGAAGATATATTTCTTTTCATTTTGGCCCTACAATGATATATGGATTTAACGGTTACCAATAAAATCAGTACGAAATAACTGGTGATAGATCAGTTGAACAATGTATCTCAATATTTTCTGAAAAATCAATAATCACTTATTAGCCTAAAGGATGAAAAATTTAATACAAATATAAGATTGTATATTAACACATTACGTGAGTATAAGAATTGAGTCATTAATAAAAGTGTGCAAAGAAAATCACTCAATCACATTATTAAGATAGATAGATGGGTTACGTAATAATAAAGTCTTAAATTGAACACATTGAGAAACGAATGAATTGTGATGAACGTAAATTTGATTGACCATGGAGCGTAGATAAACTAATACAGCTTACTAACTATTAAATGTGATTTCTTTTCCTGTTATTGAGAATAAATGGAATGTAACTAGCAGTGGTATCCAGGAGGC